TCCTTTCTTCAAACACTTCTGCTAAATCAGCAACTGAGCAGAGGAGTCACTTCACCCCATACCATAAAACACACTCCAGTGTGTCAGCTGGACCCATGGTATTTCACCCTCCTCTGTGGTGGTTGCATCCCAGTGGGAAAGTGATTCTGCAGATAAATAGCAGATCGGGAGGTTTAACCCCAACTCCTGTTTGCCTCCAATTACAAGAATATCTTGCAAAACAGAAACTTTGTAAACAAGCACATGGCCTGGTTTGGAAACCACTGCAGCTATCTCCAAGTGATGGTTTGCTCTTGGAAGATGTTTTCTAGGTGGATCTCCAAGCTCAGGACTTCATGCACTAGCAGAGTTTGGACTCATGTGGACTTCCCAGTCATTTCAGTGGCTTCATGTATCCAAGAGAAGAAACTGAACATTCAAAGGTTAGTAATTTTTGCATTTTTTTAATTCTCAAACTAAAAATAAAGGGTGAAACAGAGAAGGAGCCGGGGCTGGGCTGACTTTGAAGAGGCAGCACCAAACATTTGAGCAAAATACATGACAAAACCAGTGAAGCCAGTGAAGGGAGTTGGAGAGGACAGATGGGATCAGAGCTTTGGGCCAGGTCAGTGCAATTAGGAGCGTGTTTTGCACCAAGCTGAGCAGGACACTGTAGGAGGGTGGCCAGAGAGGTGCAGCAATATGAAGAGATAAGATCCCAGAGCAGTGCTGGAGCTGTCTGGACAGAGCAGAGTAGGAGGCACCATAGAAATTTCCTGGGAGCTTATCACCGTGGGCCATCTTCTCCTCCTCTTTCACATCCACAGCAGACCTGAAGCCAAAGGACTGTCTGAGCAACTGCCCAGCCCTGGCCTGGCCCTGCTGCTGTCAGGCATCATAGCTGCAAGACCCATAGCAGGGTGGGGGGCTCTGTCCTGAGGTGGTTGGGAATGTAGACCTCCCAAGATGGTTAGCTGCCTTAAAACAAAGTCAGAAAGAGGTGATATTAATGTCTTCAGGCTGAGGACTGGTGAGCTTAGGCACTGAGGGGTGGTGGGACTGGTTGCTGGTCAGCAGATACTGGCTGTGGACATTTGTTGGGGTTGGCTTCAGTGCTATATTCACAAATCCGTGAGAAAACATTTTATCCACACCATTCCCGGTGGAAAAGGGCTGCTTAGTAAAAGCCAGCCCAAAGAGAGGCATCGGGTTTGGTCTCCAGTGGCAAAGGATGGGGCTGAAATCAAATCCAGCAGCCTGGCCCCATATGGGCAAAGCCTTGCTGGCGGGGAGGGAGCACCTCAGGTTAGCAGGGACCCTTTCCAGCAACACATTAACCCATTGTTAAAAGCCAGAGCTGGCTTTTAACATTCTTAAACCAGCTCCTAACACCAGGAGAAAGACCCTCTACAACTTACACCCAGAGCCAGGAAGCCCAGGTAAGGAACCAGGTAGAAATTGGACTTAAAATCACTCAGGTGAGAGAGTGGTCAGTGCTGATGGCTATTTAGTTCTTTGGCTTTGGGAGGTGCTTGGTATTGCAGGGTGAATCTCCATGTGGTTTTTACATTCAGATATTCACCTCACCGCCCCTGTTGGCTGTTTTTTCCTCCAACTGCTATTGAAGTTACTATTTGATCAGAGAACAAAAGACAAATAGGAATCACTGGTGCAAAACCTTGTCATCTAAGCGTGATCTTTCTGGACCAGGAACTCTAAACCCCTGATCTGTGTGATATATAGTTTGGGTACAATAATATCTGCTGCAGTTATTATTACTTAGATTACAAAGATCTCCAAATAAAATGAAAAAAAAAAAAAAAAAAGAAAGAAAAAAGGGAGAGACTGCACACGTGCTGGCCAGTTTGTCTGTTAGGAAGAGGTAAAAATCTAAATAAATAAATAAATAAAAACAACAAAGAAGGAAAGAATAAAAGTTTAATAAACGTGTGCTGTGTTGTGGATGACTTTGTGGCGACCTTTGTTGCAAATGGCCTATGCATGCGGAATAATGGTCTCCGTGCAGAGAGGGAAATGGCTTAGTGCTATCATCGTTGCCTCGGTAACCATCAGAGTCTCCATCTAGCAGAGAGAAATGAGTTATGAAAAGGCTTGAGTGAAGAAGGGATTAACACATGATCCCAGGGACAGCATGTCAATCAAAATCAGCGGAGAAATTACACTGCTCTATTTGAGAATGTCTCCGGAAACGCAACCTTAGTGGGTGTATGGACGTGGGTGTATGCAGGCATGGTGGGGAGATGTGCAGCTCTGAGCCTCCTCTGGAATATGTACATGTTTTTATAGATGTCTAGTGTGAGGAATCTGTGAGTACTGGTGTGGATCCCCTGTGCACACACTACCTCTGTGTTTGTGTCCAAATGAGGCACCTCTCTGCAGGGACACACCTTTCCAGTGCCCATACAATGCACAGCCCCGTGCTTGTTGGGCTCTGTGCTGCCCCGAGCACCCAGGCAAAGCAAAACCACTAGAATAATAGCATAATAATAATCCATAATACATGCTTGATACTGAAATTTGCTTGTCCTCTCTTCCATCCTGACTAGGCTTCATTAAAGTGTTCCTGGGGCATTCCTTGCTCTTGCAGGATAGCCCAGGAGCTAAGCCCCCTGAATCCCTTTGTGCACCTCCAAAAGGGAAAGCAGAAGGAACAGTTGTCCTGTAGCCCCCTCCCCTCAAGATGTAAAAGCCAGGCCAATATGAAGGCTACAGCTTCAGACTGAGGGCCTTGGTGGCTTCACCTGGATATCTTCCATCAGCGTCACACTCCTGAGCTCTGCAACTTGTAGGTCAAGGGCATAGGAACTAAACCCATGATTAACTCCCTCTTGGTTTTAGCTATTGCAAACTCTCTGGTAGTTACAAGCCCTGGTGCTGCTCAGCCGTGTGTAGCTGTGCACACATTTCCTATGGCGATTGTTTGCCTTGATTCAGCTGACGAGCTTTACATTACCTGGGACCAGAGTGAGTTCTCTGCTAATGTGGGGAGCAAAATGTGATTGCTGGGAAGGGAGGGCTGGTGTGGCTTCGTAGCTGAGGAGTGTGTCTGGAAGAGGCCTCACGTATTTGTTCTGTTCATTGGCCACTTCAGTAATAGAAAACTTTCTCTTCCAGGAAATTCTCTCTCTCTTTTTTATTTATTTTTTTTTAAGCAGACAATTATTGCAGGAAAGTCAGATTTCTCTTTGGTTTCTTCACTGCCTGCCAAGCCACCCTGCCTTTCCCCACACTGGGAAGTGCAAGAGCACTCAGAGAGGGGATCTGCCCCCCCCAAAAGCATTGCTGAATCACCCAACACTCCATGGCATCAGATTCTCCCCGTGCTCGTTGCCCAGCACATCCCACTCATGGGTGCAGCACGAGCCCCTTGCACCCATGCATGAGTCTCATGAACAGCTCATCCTACACCTGCAGCTGATTCACACCTTGAGCTGCAGCTACAGGCACAGTTCTTTGCATTACAGCCATCCCTTTATGTTCCATATACACACAGGCTGCTCACCTGCCCCCCATCCTGCCATAGCCCCATCACCACCAGCAAATGGTTCCCTACATCCCTTTCTTCTCCCAGTGCAAGGACACATACAGCATCTCTTCGATCTCCCTTACAGCCCTTGCACCAACACCCACATGCCCTGCATCACCCTCAGAACCACAAACCCACCCCCAGGTCCTCCACTCCTCCCCCGGCCAGCCCTGCCCCCATGCACCTTTTGTACAAATGCCCATTCTTGAGTGTATCTTTGGGGTTTCCCACACACACGAGCACTGTGTGACCCCTTCACCCGATGCTACAAAATCCCCCCCTCATCTTCAAACCCCTGTGGCTGCACCCACTCATCCAGGGTGCACCCACCTGCACCCTGCATCCCCCCATAAAAAACCACACAGGATCAAGCTCTCACAAGTCCTAACATCAGTGCAATCAAAATACGTTGCATAAGTCATCCAAGAAACACCCCCCCGCGATGGAAAGGAACACCCCCAGCCTAGCCAGGGCCACCAGTAAACCCATCACCAAGGGTTTCCATAGCCCTCCACCACCAAACCCTCAGCCCCGGCTTTTTGGGTCTCTCCCAGCCTCCCATCTTTCCCTGCCCTCCGTCCTCTTCCTTCCCCCCCCTCCTCACTTTCCTTTCTCTCGGGTTTATTTCCCCTCGGCTCCCAGTCCTTCCCCCCTTTCCTTCCCTCCCCCCCTGCCACATCCCAGCCTCCCACACAAGTTTAAAGCCATCAGCCCAGGCAACGGTTAACCAAATCGCCTTGACCTCTCTGCTATTTGATATTCGCCTCCTTGACACTCATTTAGGAGCGCGCAGCGGTAAAGCAGACATTGGACAAGTCCAGCCTGAAACCAAAGCCCTATGAAAGGAGGAGAGAGATCAGAAGAACCTGATAGCTAGGAACTTGTTCTCTCCAAAGGCTTTCTGGACATTTTAGCCTGGATCAGGGGTCCGTGGAGCGCCAGTTCGTCGCCAAGCAGGGTGTAAACGTTAAATGTTAGCTATTTGTTCCAGAGATTGGCATGAAGATCGAGCCTTTCTGCCTCCTCTCTCCCCCGAGCCCCCCTCCCACAGTCTCTCCAGCCCGTCCAGAGTCTCACAGACACTCATTCATTAGCGGTTTAATAACCCTCCCGACGTGATAACATCCTTTACTCCCGGCTCTGCGAGCGGAGGTGACCCTGGGGTTGGGGGGGGGAGC